TCTTCCGACAAAAGATTTATCGTTCGTCTTCTGTCTGTTCGAGCCACATTATAATGGCTCGAATTCATGCATAGGATTATGGTTTACCTTCGAAGCAGAACAAAACCACCGGTCGACTGTAGAACACGAGGAAACGACATCTCGTGTGTCTGTCGTCGACACTCTCCGTAGAAACTCCTACGAGCCATCACGATTTCCTCCGCAGAAGCGGCTGACTAATTCGCGTCTGTACTACTTCGTCTCGCTATCGATTCTCCGCGCGAATTTCGGTCTCATTCGATTCCATTAAGACACAAATTTATGTTTCGCGAAACCTGACAATAGTTATTTCAATGTCTATTATTCGACAAATAGTTTCATTAAATCCAATAAATTAGAAGAAAAGAAAGGAGATCCTTTCTCTAATTTTGCACATTTTTCAAAGCATTTATTTATTAAATGTAATTTATAATTTAAAAGTACAATTTATAAGTAATATATAACTATGTATATATATTGTTATTAAAAACTTCTACGCTTAATTTACATAAAGATCCGTTAAAGCATATTTGTTTTATGCTGAACTATGCGATTTCTCAACTTTTCTATTTACATCGATCTTATATGTCGAAAATTAATGTTCCGTAAGCTATCTTTTTATACAAAATTCGGGAAACTTTAGGATTGAAGGAAAGAAGCATTTATTCGTTGAAAAACGAATTGTCTCAGGATGTGAACTTTCTTCGAAACAGTTTTCTCAATTGATGGAGCGGAAACGAATACGCCACTTATCGATCGGATATAAGACGCGCAAGGAGCTACGGGTCCGGGCAATCGGTATATGAGATTCATGAATCTCTATATTCTATTGTTTCTCATTTCAACCGGTTATGCGCATTCATATTACGACGGGCGCGATTTATTTACGCCAATGGCGCAAACGCGCGGGTCACTGGGTCGCGAAATTCGCTGGAGTTACCTATGCGTGGAGCCACGCGAAACTCACAGCTGCCACATGAATTCAGTAGTAGCAAAGCGATCAAGTGTAACGGCAATAGAATAACGATGTAGATAAGTAGGGAGGACGAAGAAAGGTGCATAATATAAAATATTAAATAATGAGGAGAAATGAAAAAAAAACGCACATAGACCGAATTTTAAACGTGCATTCGACATATTTAAATATGGTTAATATTAGAATATTAAAAGAGAATATTTTAATAGGTATGTTAGATAGAAATTTTTCTTTGCTAGTGAAACAAATATATATATTTTAAAATTTGATGTATTATATTTTAAGTGACATTACGTGTTATATAAATTAATTTACACTTGAAATTATTATAATTATCTTGTAACATGAACTCTTCATAATATCTTCAAGAAATATCTGTCGTAGAGTTCTTCCTTATTCATTTATTATTAAATTTTGTATTAATTATCATTATTGTATTAATTATACATATAATTTAGATATTAATTATTATTTAATTGTGTTACTTTTTTTATAATAAATGTTCTGTATCTCAGAATATTTTAGGTCATATTTTTGATCATATTTTTGGTCATATTTTAGTCATATTCTGTATAAAGATTATATTAAAATTGCATATAAGGTACAGTTCAATAGTAACTAGGTCGCGAAAACATGTCGATTATTTTGAACATTTACGAAATTAATATCATTAAAAAGATAAAATTTTTGAAGAAGAGAAATTTTGCGTTACTTTTCGTTTTTTATTTAATTTATGTATTAAATTATCGTAAACTCTTGGGACGTTTGAGGATCCAGGATATTTTTTTATATGACAACTTTATTGTGCCTGTGATATGAATATAAAACTTGCTTTATATTTTGTGACTTCCGTAAAGATTTGACATGTATTGAAAAGGTTGGAAAAACAATTTATTCGTATATATTATTCGTTTCATTTTATGTCTTGCAAAACTATAGATTTTGTTTCCGAGAACGTAACGTTAATCTTACATTTCATCTATTTCATAATATAATTTATATATTTTGATGTCAAATTTATAATACTTTATCATTTCGAATTATTTTGAAAAAACTGATTTTACGATATAATAAAGCTTTTATTAGCATAAGTACATAAAGAATAAAAAGAGTTTAAAGTATTATTTGTTTTTGTGCTTTAAAATGTTATACCCGTGTTTGCAAAGAGAAGTAACAATAAACCGTTTTAGACTTTAGGATATAATAATAAAGTAATTCGACAAAAAAAAAACAGAAAAAGAAGAGAAGTCAAACAAAATCATACGATGCGGAATGAAACGTGACTCGCGTTCTGGTTCTTATGTGGACCTTTGCACCCTTTGATGCGTCTTCCTCGCTCGTTTCGTCTCTTCAGTTCCAGCTTTACTATCCGCTCGCTTTTGCCTCCTTTGACCTCTAATTCGACGAGCAAGATTCACCGTAGCGTGTGTGCCATTAACCCAAATAATTTTAAGCTCGAGAGTCTCCACATTGAATTTCCCTTTACCTATCTACTCCTCTCTTGCTCTCACGTTCATATTTTTTTATTCTGGTCGAGGGAGTGACCAGTACATTGGCTCAAGAAAAACTTGCTTTTACTTCAACCAGTGCTTTATGCAGGTTTATCATTAAACATGCTTTGAAAAAACATATTTGAAAAACGAATAAATAGAATGCGTAAATGCTATTATAATAATTAATCATATTATCATCACTATTAATTAATTTTATGTTTCACTTTATCAAGTGCCTTGTATCAATTTATAATAGCTTACAATTATTATTAACAATGTTAATTGTGTATATGCGTGCTTAAAATGTAACGAGATATTTTTGTATACTTTACTCTTCTAATATTACAAAATGATCTAATGCAAAAAACATATTTAATAAAACATAAATGGATTGCAATATAATAGCTTACTATTATGTTAATTGTGTATATGCGTGCTTAAAATAACGAGATATTTTTGTACTTTACTCTTCACTGATCTAATGCAAAAAACATATTTTAAATGGATTGCATAAATGCTATTATAATTATTAATCATATTGTTATCACTATTAATGGTTTACTTTATCAAGTGCCTTGTATCAATTTATAATAGCTTACAATTATTATTAACAATGTTAATTGTGTATATGCGTGCTTAAAACGTAACGAGATATTTTTGTATACTTTACTCTTCTAATATCACAAAATGATCTAATGTAATTTTTAATAATTAATGAAATAACCTTAATTGCTCGATGTGTCATTGATTGTATCGCATTGTATCGAGCTGTTACTTCGTAGCGGATTGTCGGTGTGCAAGAAAAGTTCGTTAAGTGTTCCCGTGTAAGTTCAAAAGTCAATTGGTCGGGACTCTCGCGTAAAGTTTCTACGTTACCTTCGACGAAAAAAGGGAGGAAAGAGTTGAGTACGTTTCGGTTCTCGATCAGGGTTCTCGCGCCAGATATGGCGTACGGAGTAACCGCGATTGACTTTCCAAAGCTAACGGAAGTTTTTTACCACAAAAGGGAAGGGAACTTCTATTTAAAACTATGATGGTCAAAGTTTTCCGGTGTTATCCGTAATCCGTAAAGCGCGTGTGTGCGTGAATTGGATCGAAAAAATAAGAAGAAAGTAAACAATGACCGAAGCTTTTCCCATTTATAAAAGATTCTCTTTTTATGATGCGCACTTTCTACAGTGTATTGTTCAATTGGAAATGCTTTGCTGTTGTTTATTATTTGAACAACAATTTAACGTTTGCATGTGCTAAATGAAAATTTTTTTCACAATTTTTCCTCTAAACTTTATGTAGTGTTTTCAATATCAACATTTTGAGAATATTTAAAATATCGCTTTCCAATTCTAATCTAAAATACGATACGCTCTGATTCACATAAATTTCAATCCGTTCATACATTCTAAAAATATATTTTTATAATGATTGAAATATAATGTGATGCTTAAAATTCGAATATCATATAATAAATATCCCAAAATTATATATGTATACTATTTTTGCATTACACTTTTATATACATAACTATTTCAGTATTCTGCACAAAATTATTTTTACTCTGATACTATATTAATTTCAATAAGGTTATTAAGTTTTCACAAATTTATTGAAAATTATTAAGTTTATCTTATTATCTCATAAACTATCATAAAAATTAATTTTATACGGTTTGCATATTATATAGTAATCTATCTAATATATCAAATGGCAATCAAATGGTAAAAATTTGCGAGTTTGTAAAAGATTATTCCTATACGCTGCATGTATACGTATACATCGATAGCAATCCCTAATTATGGGCGTATTGAAATTCCGATATGTATCGTGTCGATAATGTCTTGCAATTACCGCGGATTATTGGAACACAGACATGCGCAAAAATATTACAAAATATTGGAGATACGGCAGACCGGTGAATATTGGAGTTTGCGTATTTTAATATTTATTACGGCTATTGGAAGGCCCCCTCACACAGATGTAGGTCAATGTATTTGGCAAAATGCCAAACATATATATATATATATATATATATATATACATATATATTTGATAGCTAGTCATTAATCCTCCACGCGAGAGATTTACGCGACCGATGGCGAAGCGGGAATTCATCGCGATTAATTAATAATATTTATAAAGCAGTGGGTCACACAGCAATTACAATGCACCGCAATGACCCGTTAACGTGATTTTAAATCCTGCATTTAAACGTGCAGCGCGCGAGCTTCTCATTTATAAAGTTGACGTCTTAATGCATCTCTCTTTTTATCGTCACATTATTATTTTGTTATTTACTTTGATATATTTTTTATTAATTTTTTTATATTCTCCAGTGTGCAAGACGCATTATTTTATAATTAATGATCCACATATATATTCGCGGAATAATGCTCTAACGTATTTTCTCTAATGAGTTTTACTTTTTATAAGTTTAAAATTCGAACGGTGTATATAAAGTTTGTAGTCGCTGTCGCTGTGTAAGAGACGATAACCGTGTCTTATCATTAATGTTACAGAGATGCTTGCCATGAATCCTGGACGCAGCTGCGACTATCGCCGATGTTCGGCTGCATATGTCCGAATAATCATATGAAGCGGCGATGCGACAAGATCTTCATGACGGTGAACCATAATCCCTGCGTTGGTGAGTCCAACTATAATACGCGATTCGTAAAGTTCTATGTCCTTCTCTTTATCCACATGTGTTCGTATCTACTTCCATCGTACACGTAATTGCGTGCAACATTTTTATGCTGCTTTCTCCCGTCAGCGAGCAATCATTACTATTCGATTGTAAAAAGTAAGGATTTAACGTGCTCGATTACAGAGCACTAAAGTGTAAATTGGTAATCGTACAAAAGCTGGGTCACTGCAAAGGCAAACTCATTATCAAGTTTAACTATTGGTGGAAATATGTTTGCAAATTCGAATTTCGAATGTCGAATAAATAGTTCGGCGTTTGTTAATCAAATTTTATCGAATGTACATAAATGAGCATATACATATATATATATATATATATATATATGTCGCGTGACACGTAAATACGTGTATGGGATTTCGTTTGATAACGAATTTTATCGTAAATTGAGATTCGAACGGACTGTTGTGACATGAATGAACGAGTACAATTATATCAGCACTTTGTGAAAGGCAATTGTCGGTGTTGTGAAATAATTTTGAATATTTATAAGAAGTTTTTTTCTCTATCGTATCTGCGTATTGAGTCTATGGGGTTTACCCTTGCGTGTCTGTCTGTGTGTATCTTGTACAGAATTCTCATTTAGTATTACTATTTTGTTGATGTGTACATTGGAGCGTCCATGTCGATCCTGGATAACAGCGATAAATTGTAATAATAACTCAGCATATAGATTTATAACTTGTAGATTCTACTCGAAAAGCTAACTACAGTTTCCTATTATTTCAAAATATTTATTTAATTTAAATACGTTTTAATACGTATTATTTCTCATGTAGAGATGCGTTTTCTCTCCAAATAAGTGTTCAAAAGTATAATGTTAAATTCACAGGTTATTTTAAAAACATTATTTCCTATTCGCAACATTGAATAAAGTTTTGCTCGACTTTTACGGTAACAATTTTATCCGAGGATGATTGCATTTATACGCATAATCAACAATACTTTCAAGTTTTTCCAACAAAGTATGAAGTTTGTTATCAACAAAGTGCATAAACGAGGAGGCTCATTGTTGCATCGCTCTCGCGTTAGAACGGCTGAGAAAACTGACATGCACTAAACTAAAGCCACTTCCTGTTACTCTCCCATTTTTTCCCGGGCGTCAAAGTTGCGAGCAAGGTAGGATGCTGCTCGACGGGGCAATTACTTTTAAGCGGTACTGCGGTGTTCAAGGCTCGTCGGAGAACGTTATCCTCACCCTTGGATAAGCTACTTTCCTTGTAATTAACTAAAGACGGAGGGGAGTTGCAGGCATTAAAATAAAGATAACAATAAGCCCTCTAATTTCGAGGAAGATAATAAATAATACTTTAAATATATCTACTGTAATGCAACAGTCAGGAAACAAGAATTTTTCATGATGGAACTTTGAATTACATTTCTTGCTTTTATTTCATTTAAAAAAAAAAAATTATGCGTATTTCAAACTAACTTTTCAACTATGCAGAATTTATAATTAGAACATTATTAAAATATGTTGCATTATAATATTAAATAATTGAAATGCCTTAGCAATTATAATATTTTTATAAGTTACTGGTTTTTTTATATATTTTACTACTATTTTAGCGCATTTTTTAAATAATTTGTAAACCATTATATAACTATTAATTATTATATATACTATTAATTACTAATATATACTATTAATTATTTCCATATTTTTATATTGAAAAGCTTAATATATTTAATTGTATACACATTTATATTTACTTAATCAGAAACAGTTTTGGAACAGTTTCATCCGCAATTAGTATTTTATTTGATTATCGACTGCACACATCCAGGATCGACGATGCTTCCGCTCGTGCCTCGCAATCATAATTATAAGGCAACATTAAGATTCAAGCGTGCAGTGCGCGCACACAAAACGTAAGTATCTTTACACGCATCACACGCATGTGTGACAAATGTGTCTCTTGCGTTGCGTTTGACGAATGAAGCGCGCCAACGATGCATATGCGAGCGATGAATGCGGCATACATACACTCTACGATATAGCATTAACATTTGTGGAATGCGTGACTGGTCGAGAGCAGTTTTGCAGCACGGAAACATAAGCGAACAATTAGTTATTACGGTAACAATGTTATAACGTAATTAACCTCGATGCTACACGAACATAATGTACAAACATTTCGGTTTAGCTCTCGGCGGGGCAAACTACTTTACCTCGCGAAGAAGAAATCCTGCGTTCTCTCTTTACCGCAATTTTCAATTAATTTTAAATGTTATACGTTACGTCGATGACAGCTCAGCCACAACAACTGCAAACTAATATTCATTTAGCGACAACTCTCGCAGCGAGATTAAATGGGAAATGTGTCTTACAAGCTGAAAAATTATTCTTTCGGTCTGTGAACCAATGAGTTTGAAATAGTTTCATTACGAGGGGAAATATTGCGCTGATATAAATAAATGTACTCAAAGTTTTGCAAGTCGATAAATGGAAATTCTAAATTGGTGTTAGGAACGCTATTTGTCTCTCCTGTAATTTAACTTTATTCACCGTCGAAGATTTTATCGTTTTGCTCGTATATAATTACGACAACTGCACAGTTATTATTAATCGGTCTTTCTCTCAAAATATATACAAATATTTAAATAATCTAATTGTACCTCGATAGCTAATTGAGTAAATATATACAGGGTGTTTGACATAAAGTGTAATACCGAAAATATACAAGTAGATCTCATTATTTGGAGACAATTTTTCTTCAGCAAAAATATTAATGCACCAAAATTTTCGAGTTATAAGCGATCGAAAATAAAGGATTTTTCGCCAATTAAGCCTTGTGAGAATAAAATTTTCGCAAAACCTTCTTTCTTCAATTAATTTCAAGAAGAATTTACTTTAATAAAATTTTAACTTAAGGTTTAGTTATAAAGATACACGATGGCAAAAATTGGGAATCTGTAAAAAATAATGGTCTCCCTTGACATTTTTGCTGAGGAAATATCGTCTCCAAATAACGAGATCTACTTGTATATTTTCGATGTGACACTTTATGTCAGACACCCTGTATATTGTACTTTTCAGTATTTCCATTTTCTATTTTAAAAATACCTGCAAAAATCTACAACATATTGAAATATAAATAATTGAAAATAGATAAAATTTTATAAAATACGGATCAAACGCTTTTTACATTTTGCTTTCAAAATTTTACGTACATCTACCTTTAAAAGCAAATCGATTTTTGTTGCTAAAATAAAAATAAAGTCTAATGACAAACGACTCGTCCAGTATGTAGATTTGGATCTTGAATTGAAATTGGAAGCGCGATTTTAAATGGGCCGGCCCTTTGCTATACTCTATTCTTCTTTCCCCAAGATATCGAACAACCAGCCGGTAGGTGTATGAATAGCAATGAGGGTGAAAGGAGAGGGATGAGAAAGAGGGAGGAGTACCGTGCTCGAACACGAAATTTATTTAAACGCTCGAACTACTCCTCCGTAATCGAATTAAATTACTTCTTGTTGTTGCAAACGATCGAATCTTCGACATGAAGGAGTATTCAAGACTTGCCTTCGTTGTTCAATCGTGTCTATCCATCATTCGATTACGCGTGTCTATCTTTTTACGAATTGCAAATTAATCAGAAAAAAATATTTGGCTGTTCGATATAGACGGTCTCCTCATGATTATCGTAATTTAATAAACATTCATTTAATAACTTAAATATTAGATGAAAATTTATATTATGAGTTAATTGCTATTTGATAGTGTGCTATTAATAATCATATTGAGCAATCGAGAGACGATTATCGTCGAAACTCAATAATGCCAGTTCCAATATGAATTAGAATTATATTAATTTAAATATCACATTTTAAATTCTCTATGTAATTATTCTAATACATATTAAATCAATTATTTGAAAATACAAGGTAATTAATGATACATTTATATTCAATTGGTGATATTTATAAATTATAAACCGATTCAAAATTTAACACTAGTAAATGAAATTAATTTTCATCTTTGATTTCTATTATTTACTTTGTACGCTGTAGTACAACAAACAGACATTTATAGACATTTGCTTTTAAAATATATTCATAGTGTCACAGTTACTTTTAAGATATATATATATATACATATAGACAATATTTTTTATCACTGTGTTATCCATAAATAATTATTTATTTTGTGTTAAAGAATAAATATTATCTCTTAAATTTTATAGCTAATAATAAATGTAATAATTTTTAATGTTATCGTATAAAATATTTTTTATAAAGAATAATAAAATATTATTTTCCTTTATGATATCGTATATTAAAATATCGTATATGAAAATTAATACACAGAGATAACTTTATGTTCAATAAAAGAACTAATATACTAAAAAAATAAAACCTGTGATGAATCTCGTATATTAAATTCATAATTGAAATATAAATGCAAATATTTGAAATATCCTAAACCAGTTGTTTGAAAAATAACAAAATTTTAAATATCTATAAATGTTTGTTTTTTATAATAAAACATTATATTTATTTTTTCACAATTTTATATATTATTTTAAAAATTATACTGTTTTCTTAGTGAGAGAAAGAATCTGACTCCGACGAGATCGTCGCTCGATTGTTAATCTTGGGCACATTCCGAAAGTGCAATATTTCTACTAGTAACGTGCGATGTTTCAATACTGACAGCTTTGATAGCTGACATCTATCCGAATTTAACAGCCACGAGATATTTGAGAGATATTTTTACCATGGCGTATAAAAGTACGAAAATTTTCAAAATATGAGGCACTAAACTCTTTCTATATAACTGTCATATCTCTCTTCAAATATCACCAAAGCTTCTAGCTATCTTGGTTATCGCTGGATCGATTGCATCTCACGTTACTCATCCGAGGGTTAATAAAAAGAAGCACACCCGGAGAAGCGCAGCGGAGCTCACGAGACACTCAGAATCGAAGACGTCTCGA